GTTTATTGTTGTTACTGTATCAAGTCATTCATTCAACCTTTAAAAATTCAGGTCTCTCTTGTAAATGAGTCCCTGCGACTCCATGGGACCAACCTGTAAAAATAAAGGTTGAATGAATGAATTGATACAGTAACAATCACCCTTTATTCTCTGCATGTGATGTGAATATCACAGCTCACCCTAAAATATATTTATTTATCTTTAACAACTGATTACATAAGGTGTCAAAGCAAATAAAGAGGAGGTGTAGTCGTCATTACGGGACATTGTTTGGTTCACACTCCACTGGGTTTGTAATCATAATGCACAATTACTTCAACAGTGTTTAACAGTCTCTAAAAAAGGAAAAAAAGTTATGCAACGTTTTGTCCCTTCCAACCAAATATTTTCACCATGAGCTCAGCAGAGCTGACTGTAATCATTAAATCAGGTGTGGAGAACAAAAGAAAAGGAGGACTGTTACAAAATGAAGAAGCTCTTCTGTCCCACATTCACTGGTCTGCATCTTTCAGGAACAAATACCTGTGGGATTAGACCAAGCATGTAATATAAAAGACAAGATAAAACCTTTCAAATGTGTTAAAAAAAGTTATGCACTGGGCACAACTTTTATGTTTTGGCTCCCATTTTGCTTTCATATTCTAATTCAAGAGATCAGTTTATTTTCACACATTTGTATCTTTTCAGTTATTTAACCATGCTGTCTGAAAGATGTTTCACAAAGCAGTCGTGGTTTCTTATTGTTGGCAAACCTAAAACCCAAACAGAAATTAAATCAAACAAAAATGGTGTTAATTTAAATGTGCTCTAAAGAAAACTAAGATATTTTTGTCCTATCCTTGAACATTTTTTCAGTGACATGGGTCCACCTATTTGAGGAAATAAATATAAGCATCACTACATTCTTTTCATGGCTTGTTCAGGTTTTACCTGGACAGTTGTAAGATGCAGAAAAATGAGGCTCCGGCAGTCTGAGGTCAGTAAATGTATGGGGGAGAAGATGATGTGGGAAATAATCACTAATGTAGTGATTTTTTAATTTTTTTTTTTGTACACAATAATTTTAAATTGTATAGTTACACAATTACTTCAGATTTTTGACATTCAAATACTTTATTAAACAATACTCATATGATTAAAAGCAACAAGGAAAATTTCATACTCTTTACAAAGTCAAATAGGACTATTGCAGGCCTATTCTATCCATCTATCATCTATCTATCTATCTAAATGCATTAAAATCTATCTATCTATCTAAA